TTAATCTATTCTATCTCTTTTCAGAAAGACAGCAAGGCCAAGTGCTAATTTAAAAAAGAAAAAAACATTTGTGGTTTTATACAGTATTTCAAACACTTTACTTTTTGTTATGCTACCTTGATTTTATACTCTAATCTGATCATATAAAGTCTGTGCTTCAGGGAAGTCTATAAATCCTTGCTGTACTTGACATTAACAACAAAAAGATCCTACTGGCAACACAAAATAAAAAAATCCAGATCTACATGCTGATTAAAACATGCAGAACGTGGTAGGCAATCCTTCGCAAGTTACATTTTCTAATATTGCTATTGTGAAAACATTTTGCCTTCTTGCTACAAAAGCTGCATCAGAATAATCAGATGCAAGTATCTTCTGGAAATAGTGGACAATTCTTTGCTTGAAGAACTAGGCTTTCTTTTTTTTCATTTTTATTTTCTCACAGTAGACAGGACGTCTGTCAGCAGCCTAGCTGCCTGCAGGTCATTTCAAAGAGAACCTGAGTAGTAGTGAGATGCAGGACTTTTTGACATTCTAGCTTCCTTTCCTTGTACCAGGCTTCTAAAGTGGATGCTAAGCCTATGAAATATATATTCCTTCTCAGAACTACAGCATAAGCAGATAACTGCTACTCCATAATCTACAAAAGAATAAAAAGATCCTTTTCTAGCAGGAATCTAAGTTTCAGAATTCTCACTGTAAAAGTCCATTCTCTTCTCAGCAGGGTCCAAGAAACAATTGCTGGGCTTCCTAATCCAGCATGGGAAACACAGTTCATCAAGAAGAATTGCAGTTAGATTTCACATCAAAGAAATTCAAACACATAAAAATAAGTTATTCCCTGTAGTGAAAAGATGCAACCCCTTTTACCATAGCATCCAAACAAGGGTAAAAATGTTTTCCAACAGCACGAGACAACCAGTTCTATCTGACTCTTAATGCAAAGAACAACATGCTCGTTTTTTCCATATTACCTTAACGTCTATAATGGACACCAGCAGAAAGCCGTCCTAGGTCTGGCAGCTCTCACAGGACAGTTAGTGCAAGCCATTTAAATGATTCATCTCAAAATCAGGCAGCTGATCATCACACCTCCCTTAACAAGAAGGCATTTTTTAAAATTGCTAAAAGAAAGCAAATACAGAGGAAAATTTAAGACTCCATCTCTATCAGTATTAGACTACTAAAAAAAATGTAGCCTTGGCTGACAAAAGCAAATTTCTAGGCATCCTCTGTTCTATTCTGAACATGTTCATATTTCTCCTTTTTCTGAACTTGTGCCAACTTGTGTTGCTTGAGTTGTTTTTAATGTTTTATTTGACAGTGATTTAGAAGTGGAAGTTCAAGAGCTGTAAAGGTGGTCTCGTTCTTCTCCCATCAAAGGCAAGGGTAACTTTTCTGCTGGTTTCCTAAAATGTACAAGACTCACATGGAAAATGCAATAGAGAGCTGAGACATTCTTCATGATTCTCTTCAGACCCCAGTTCCCAGTTCCCTCCTTACACACCCAATCCAACTCAAAAATTTTCAGAACCACATGAAGACCCTTCTTCTGTCCCATAGATTTGTCTGGTAATGGGGATCAGGGAACTAGACCCTGGCCTCAGCACTTCAGTTCAGCTATGGAAGTGCACCCTAGCTGAGGCCACTGCTCACAGAACACCAATAGAAGGTCCCCCTTTTCCATCACATCATCGGACCACGTCTTTTTTCTTGCTACATGCCCCAGCCAATGTACCTTGAACATACTGATTTCTGTTGAGCAAAATTAAATTCTAAATTCAATTTCCAAATTCAGATATTTCTAAGTTATTTTATTCCCATCATCCCTAATCAACAGAAATCTCATCACATTCTTTATAATGTTTTTTGTTCTTAGGACTATCACTGTAGAAACACAGAAAGGAAGACTCGTTTTATACCTTGCTTACTCCAATGTAAAATAAACATCAATGTTCTGTAAGTCTATAATATAGTCCCCAGATCTTTTTTGTATGAATATAAATTGGGGATATCTTTGAATGAATAACAAAACACTCTAAATTATGGTTTTCTACAACTGTACCAGCTGACTCCATTTGAAAAATCCATCCCATAGTCTTTTACAGGTATGAAACTTGTAACAGTTTTGTTTTGGCTCCTTTTAAAGAAGAAATGAGCAAAATTTACAGTTCAGCTTTGGAATTATTTAGAATGCAAAGGAATTGGTTTTTTGAATATATACAGCAGCCAGGTGAATATTAAAAATTTAGGACAAACCATGAAATTATTAGAAGACACTGAATAGGCACTTGCTTCCCCCCACGAGCCTTAGGAGAGCAACTTTGTGCTTTGGCCATTTTCTCCTGCAGTGCAAGATATAGGTCCATGTCCTGTCACCAGCCTAAGTGAGTTAATTCTTCCCGTGTCACAAATGAACTCCTTTATACCACTTATGCTTTTGTCATAAGTGCTTGGAAAATGCATCACTTTGTTTACTGAAACCAGAATTTTTCTTTTCTTTCCCTTTTTCAGCTCAAAAGAAAGCTCAAAAAAACCAACCAAACAAACAAAAAAAACCAAACCAAAAACGCTTGCAGATAAATCCAGACTAGGCTAAGTGCTGATCTGCATGTTCAGCCAGTGACAGAACCCGAGTAGTTTCCCCATGTGAGCAGCCTGGTCCATGAGTGCTGCCAGCGGTTTCATAGACTAAGTTACCTTAGGTAACCCTCTCATACATTAAAGCATGAGTTCTTTTGCAACCAGTCCACTTCAAAGCCAAACTAGCCATGCTTCAGCAAGCCTTCAAGACAGATATATGCACTTAAAATGGTAAATAGTGTATAAGCTAATTCTACTTAATGCCATAATTTTGTAATTAAAATATATGCCAATGAGCCAAATTACATGAAGATGATTGGAACTTTTTAGGTCTACTCGCATTATGATGCTTGGGCAATTGTAACTAGATTGACTTAGGAATGATATTTTTTATTTCAAAGCAACTCTTCCCAAAAAGGATAAGGATTTAATTGTTCCAGCATATGATAAGTTTATAGGTGCCAAATGCATGGTAGAAATGGGGACAATGCAAGACAAACAAGGAAGTTTCCAAATGAAATGCATGCTATGAACATACATACAGATTACCTGCAGGATTCCTACAGGACTCTGTCTTAACCACTATGGCACATAAATGAGGGTATTCTTTCATTTTGGAATGTTTAGAGATTTATTTAAGATGCTGTGGTGCCCATTTTTTGGGGCATAAAAAAATCTCAGTAGTGAAATATACCTGTGAAAGGGCAAGAGTGAAGCCACAGAAAACAGAACTATTTATCATATTTCTGAGTTGAAATCTCATTTTTTAAGGGATGTTAACAAAGATTTTCTATAAAATGCAGTTGTTACGTATTTTCATACTTTCCTGAATGATGGCATCCAGCATCACAAAAAAAAAAAAGAAGAGTTAATGTCTAAAGTGAAGTTACTATAAGGGTTCCATAATAATGAGACTTCATTGCTTGCAGTCACTCATCAAAGAAACACAGTAAACCAGCAAATCTTATAAAAAACTAATCAGTTATGAATTTCATGGCAAGTGCTTAGGAAGGACAAGAAATATTCTGAGAGACAAGGAATCCTTGATCCAAAAAAGCTATATAAATTTAAGAAGTAGAACACCCTTTCTTGATTTTTGAGGCATATAAGAATATTCTAACAAAAGTATATTTTATGACCTGTACTCTTAAATAATAAAGATGAACAGCTTATTTTATTTTCAGAAAGACAAAGTATTATATACTTACAAAGTATGAATTAATTTTTTACACCTCCTGCATAGGTCAAATCACACCAGCAGAGACCAAAATAGGAAGGTGGGGACATAAGAGTGGTGGAAGAAAAAAAGTCAAGCATGTGCCGAAAACTGGGCATGGATTGACAAAAGAGATGGAGAAATTTGGCAGCTGTGGTCCTCCTCCCTCCCATTCCCATCTCTCCGAGGAAATAGATACACAACGGTCATTCACACAACTCAGAGAAGAGAGTGCTTGAGGTTTAGTGGGGTTTAGGGCCCTAGAGACAGAATTTCTGGTAAATGGCAAAAATACCTGTTGTAGAGAATACTGTTGCAGAGAGCCCAACAGAAGCCCCTGAATAAAGTATTGTTATTCTTACTTCATAGAGAGGAAGTCAGCAGAGGCAAGCTGAGGCAAGCTGGGCAATCTTCTCAAAGCCATTGAGCTACTGTCAGAAACAGTGTTCTTAGTAACAATCAAAATGTGAGCTCCAGGGCTTGTTCACAAGAAATTTAATAGAGAACTGAGGCCAAAAAAACCTTGACATAAGCAGCTTCAAAAGGGGAAGTATAGATAGTCTCCAAGGGGAAACATAAGCAGCACCATAAATTGAAGAGCAAATAACTGCTCAGCAAAGAGCTTAAAGGACGTACTTTTTGCAAGGTTTATTTAACTGTTTCATTTGAGGGACTGGTAATTTCAACCTACATGAAGTGTTGCTTGAAATAATTATTCTGATTTCACAGTGACAATGTGCAAGAGGAAAGAAAACAGTAGGGGAGAGAACCTGAAATGAGGATTAACTGAGCAGCAAAGACAAAAGAGAAACAGTACGGCCTGGCTCTTGGTTCCAAGTTCATCCTCATAGCCAGGCTATAGTCGGAAAAAATCCCAAGCCCTGAGAAGAGGGAACAGAACAGGTAGCTTGAAAGAGGAATGCCTAGCAACTCCTTCATATTTTAACCTCATCCTTACGCTCCAAAAGATAAAAATATCACAGAGAAAAAGGAACTGAATTATGATTTGATTAAATAGAATGTAAACAGTAATTTGAAAACAAAGGGCAATGCAATTTGTTGCGTAGTCACACAACATTCCTTTTGGATTTGAAATTCACCGGCAGCGGTTCCACCCCTTTTGAAAGTAAAGTCTGACGTTGGGGCTGTTCAGCCTGAGCAGCTGCTGGAGCTACAAAGCCTTTTTTCATCTTCTGCCAGGATGGGAGTGATACAGCTTCCCAACCCATCTAGGATCCTGGGTCTTTCTATTCATATTATCCTCATTCTGCTTCAGCAGACTACTGCAGAAAGAGAACTGAAGTTTGTGGTTGCAGTAAGTAGATTTGTTTTCTATTTTGTTGCGGGGAATAAAGGGAATTTGATATGGCTGTTGAATCAAACAAGGTGTGCAGTTGCTTTGCCTCTTTTTAGACTTAGCTAGAAATAATTACTGCTGCCCTTTTGCTTCCTGAGTTTAAAGACTTGACTTGAAGATAAAAAGGAATTTTCTTCTCCTAACCCTAGTTATTATTTCAGGCTAACTGAACAACTTAAGTTTATGGTAGACACATACTGCACAGGAGTTAAGAGATCTGAGGTCTAGTTTACCTGTTCCAGCTTAATTTACTGGACACTCTTTTGCATCGCCTGAGATTATGGCCTATCTCCTCTCTACCTGGAAGCTGAAGCTTATGATGTTACAGAATTTACCACAAAACCAAAAGTATTTTCCATTTCAGAATAACTGAACTGGCACAGCTGTATACTGAGAAATAGGAAAGCGCATTTTTAGGTAGGGATTTGAGATGTATTTTATTTTTTTTTGCTGGGCCATTTCTTATTTTAAAGTAAGTAGACACTGCTTCAGTGTCCCTTTCCCCAGTAGCTCAGGTAAAAAAGACATTAATGTAATGAAATAATTTGAAGGTTGTGTCATAGTCCTTTTCATTCTAATTTCTTTTTTTAATAAGAGGTATACTGATTAGAATAGTCTAAAGGGATATTTTCAATATAAAGTTCCAGCGATTGGAATTGACATTTATAAACAGGAATTTTAAGATCTTCTGCATTTCTCTGTCTGAGACTTTATGTGCACACAGAGATAGCAAACAGCAGTACTGTGTCCAAAACATATCATCTAGCTCTAGAAAAAGTATTTCATATCTAGTTGTCTATTGGTTGCACTGTAGATGTGCCACTTGGAGGGAGACCAGAGTGCACAGGAAAAACCAGTTCCTACTCCTGCTGAGGCTTATTGCTCTACCACACACTGCACACAACAGGGACTCAACACTAATTCCAGTAACGTTCTGTGTATAGCAATAGACTTAGATATTGTTTCAATAAGAGGGAAAACTGGACACAAGTATGTAATTAGGCAGTCAGCAAGCTATGGAACTCTTAGAAGGAGGGAGACTTCTATTGAATTGCAGCTGTTATTGTGTTCTAACAAGCAGTGGTTTTACAGAAAGTTACAGGAAATGCTCACCACTGTGGAGATAGAGGCTTCCTATCCAAAATCAGCTGCTTACCACAGCTATGCAGCCACAGTCCCCACCTACCAAAAAAAACCCCAAAACAAAAAACAAAAAAAATTCCACTTTACTTATAGGGTACCCTATCACAATTAATATTAAAATAATCAGGAAAATTTATTTTAACTCTCTTCCTTTTACACCTGATACTTGTCCTCAGACTGACCAAACTGCCTAAAATGTTACAACAGTTTTAATCTTATTATCAACACACATCTCTTTTCTCAAGGCGTCGTTTCTGTGTGTTCAATTGAATCTTGCCTTCTGAATTCATTGAATTTTCATGGGAACAGAATCACTAGCATCAATAAACAGGATAGGAATTGGCCTCAGAACATTTCAGCAGTATAATGGGATATAATGAGCGTATGGTTTCAGTCAAGGTGTGTCTAAAAGGCATCTTTCGAAGATAACTCAATATCCATTTTCCAGCTGTACTCTGTAAGTTGCTATGTTTTCACCAGAGAGTATTACTGCATTGTGAATGTGTGTCATAATGACTTTTTTAAACTTTCTTGCCAGAATTGCACAATATAAAGCACATCTGCAGGGGAGAAAAAACAGACAAATGTTCCCTTTTGCTCACTTCTAGAATTGTGCTATGCTCTCTGAAGATGCCTTGCTCTCTTCCATCTTTGTGCTGATTCTGTGCATTTTGATTATTGGCCACAAGTCCTTTTGGCTGAAAAGCTTTAATTGAAGCCTATTTGTCAAAATGCTATTTTAATTTTCTTTTCACATGTAAACATCAGTCTTCACCATAATACTTGTACACTGATTTTAAAGGAGACATAAGAGAATAAAATAGGAAACATGTAGGATCATCAAGTACCCAAGTAGAAATGAAATACTGATTTATTGCCTATGTATAAAGAAGTTCCGGCCTGTAACTTCTGCCTCCACACAGGCACTCATTATACTTCTCATATATACAAAGAAATGTGGTTTGTGACGTACTGCGATTTCATCATATCTTTCGTCTTCAAACTCAGGATAGGAAGTGTTGACTAAGCATATTATCTATTTGTCTAATCAGGCCAAGCCATTTGAAACTTTGACTAAACATGCTCAGTATTTCTGCAGGTATGGTTGCGCTGAAGTGGCAGCACGACTGGTTCCATTTCTCTCTTGTTTGTTCATTCCTATTGCTGGCTTTAAAATACTTTTGTTTGAAGTTGAGTCTGTCAATAAAAATGTCTCTCAGAGGCTCACTATTACTCAGAGACACGTAATTCACTGTAATTCATGGCATCTCTGAATGAAGGTGTTATATATACTACTCATGCCACAGTCTCGGTTCACTGTCCCCTCTGCACCAGTTTTTCTCCAAGATGATTTTTGACCTGACAGCAATGGAAGCAAATGCTGGCCAAAGTCTGAGTCATGTGGCCGTTTCGCCCTGAAGTGATCACTCTCTCAAAGGTAGAGACCAAATGGGAGAACCCAGACGCTGCATCAGGTTCACACTGTGCTTGAGTTGAAAGAGAGGGTATTTGGGAACTATCGCTCTGTTGCTTTTGAGAACAGACCGAGGTGAAGCACTTCAGCTAAAGGTGCTGAAGTGAATATACCAAACAGCTGTGCTTTGCTCTTTTTGCGTACATCCTCCTTGCCCTCCCTTCTTTCTTGACTTCTAGTGTCTTTTCACCTTTTATGATGCGTCCTTGTTCCTTTTCTCTCATCTTGCCATATTCTATGTCTTCTGAAAGATCAGGAAGGCAATCAAAACGCCAGGAGTAATAAATGCTGCAGCACACATGTTTTCTAATGGATTTTGAAGGCTCAACTCCTTTTTAACAAAATCCAAATGATGAGTGTTGAGAAATACATATTGATGAGCAAGGCAGGCTTTTTCCCTAACTGTATCAGGCATTCTAATGAAAAAGACAAACTTTCAACCACACAAGATCTTCTTAAAGTTTTAAATTTAAAAAGAAATCTCTCCTAAAATGTAGCTGACTATGACTGAATGAGTCAACTTGTAGGCTGAGTGGTTGTTCATAAGGTCATTGCTTCATTTCCACCAGCAGCTGAAGCAAGATCATTTTCAAACGTAGCAAGCAAGGAGCTTTGAGCACAAACAAAAATCAGTTGGCTGAGAAGCTTAGTCCTTCCATTTCTAAAAACAGGGTTCTGCTCTTAGAAGTATTAGTTTCTTTCTTGCTACTACCAACTCAGTGTTAATATATTTGTAAGTCATTGTGCAACGAAGCTGCAGAAATACAAACAAGGAACTGAACTTTTTTCTATTTTGTGTGGACTTAAAGAAGCCGTGCTGCTCTTTAGAAGAGAACACCCTCCACTGCTTCTCTCTCTTAAGGTTGCAAAGAGAGCTATTTTTTTTTTTTTTACATCTCCTGCTCCCACATACACTTGAATATCTCTCGATCTTTATCTCTCTGCCCTCTCACCTCTGTTCAGGTAAAACGCTACTCTGTTCTGCCTTATTGGAAGTTTTTAGAGGTTGACTGTCATGACAGTGAAATACATACTGAGGGTTATGTTGCATATAAAGTATAAAGTATCATAAACCAGTATTCAAAATCTAACACATTTTCAGTAATTTTTCACTAATAAAAAGGCCATATTTAGTGGCCAAGTGTTGATCCATTACTACATATTACCTAAAAAAAAAAAGTCATTTAATTATGTCAGTCGGTTTTCGCCACTGTCAGTTACTCATAAAAATGCTTTTCTGTGAAGCTGGATAATTTAACAAGAAAGTATGCAGCTACACTGTAATTAGGAATTTAACCTTCATTCTTTACAGAGGTATCAGCTTGTCCAGAAAAGCTAATGAATCCTACCTGACACCTCTGTATGTCAGGTAGGATTCATTCAAAACATCAGGGAAATAAGCAGTGACACAAAAGTCCTCCTCACTCATTTTTCTTGCACGCAACTGAATCAATCACCAGACAATGTAGCTCTTTACATATTCTCCTGTTCACTGGAATTGCACTGAGAAATTATTATAATGAACGAAATGAGATTCCTGATTATTAATAAAAGACACCTACAGATTTAAAATTTGCATAGAAACACAAAAATAAAATATTTCAGAAACATTTATGGACTTGAACTCAAAAAAGAGTTGTTTTTCTCTTGAGACTGTGCAGTACCATGTTGTTCAATATGTTGATGATAGTGAAAAGATAATAAGCAAAAAGGTAATACGCAGTTTTCTATGTGTTTCTAATGGTAACAACTATTCTAGCAAACCTTGCTCTCTGTTGTAGAAAACGAACAGAGGGAAAAACCCAATTATATTTGCCTATATTTTCCATCCCTGAAGTACCTGCTCTAGCACAGGTTTGTGCACGTTAGTACAGAAGGCTGATGAAAAGGGTGTGTGTTGTAATTAAAACATTAAGTCACACTGCTTGTGTTTACTTTGAAAAATATAAACATAAAACACCTCCCAGTGGGAGTGGCAAACTAACTAGCATGTACTAACCTGTCTGATGTTTGGGCAAGAACGATGTGGCTTAATGAAGCAATGGAGAGTACTAATTATAATCAAGCTATATACCAGTGAGGTATTATGGAACAAATGTCATTTTATGAACAAACATACCATGCTTCCACATTGCCATTTTATTCTGCCAAGTCAGGAATGAGGTTGGTTATGTGAATGCTGATACAAGCAAAGATAACTTTTGCAACGGTTTGGATCTGCATCCTGGAAGATTATCTGGAGCCCTTTGAACTTGTATACCAGCATTTCCATTCAAGTGAAACTTTTGTGGACTTCATTTTTCTAAGCCCACACATGACACGCTTTGGGAGAGTAATTCAGAGTTTTCCAGAATTATTTAATCTAGGGTTGGCACTTTCTTTGTGTGTTGGAGTAAAAATACAAAAAAGGATCATTTGAGGTTTCTGATGCACAAATCGTATGATTGAACGTATCACACTGATATTCACCATGCTGGAATAGTGTCCAGGATAGGAAGGTGACTACACTTTTTGCCCTCAGAGAATTTAACAAAAATAAAAATCTTACAGATTTTCAAAAATGTTTTCATACATGTATGTAAAAATATTAACAAATATTAAGCAAGCTAACAACATAAATATTTAGACTTTCTCATCTTTATATTTTAAGATGATTGATAAATCAAAAATAAGATCCATGCGTACATGGAACTACTTTTAAAGATAGTGCTATGAAAAAGCAGCTACTAAAATTTTCAAAAGTGTCTATGCCGAAGTAATTAAATCCTCATATAAGCACATCAGTAACTGGTTTAATATTCAGAGGTGCTGAGTGTTCAAACTTCAGTCAGGTTTCTTGTTTAGATGCCTAGCTAAGGTTGTCATCTCAGCATTAACATCTTGGCTGATTAATTTTATGTTCTAGGTGGAAGAATCATCAGGCTCATGCCTACTAAACTCCTATGTAATTATACCTATTCTTTTGTGTAAAGAATGTACTCCAATCCTACTTGACTAGGTTTCTGCAAACTCTCAAATATTTTCATTTGAAAAATGGCACTGGAAGTATAATGTATGTTTGACTTCTAGCTAGGTAAGAAAGGAATGTTAACAGTAATTAACTCGACTTTTTACTGGTAATGTTAGGTTTTCCGACATGGTGACCGAACACCAATTGTAAACTTTCCAACTGATCTACACAAAGAAAGTGAATGGCCCCAGGGATTTGGACAACTTACCAAGGTATGTTGACTTTCTTTGAATCATTTATATATGATACTAATACAGGAAGTGGGCAGATTTTTTATGTGTACCTCAGAAACATTAGCAAATCCCAAATACTGATAGTTGTTATTAGCAAAACCCTGTAATTAATATATATTTTTGCAACATTATTCATCCAACTACTGTTAAATTGAAAGCTTGTTCAAAACTACCTTTCTAAACACTCCAACTTCCTGGTAGTGTGCCTGCAAATGGCAAGTTTAAACATTGTCTATACTCTTAACATTGATGAAAGTCTAATGACCATTAAGCCCTGGGCCCTGTGATAGGGTAAAGGAATAGCACGTGTCCACGAGGTCAGGTGATGAGTTCATATCCCATCATTTGACTTCCCTTGTTTTGTGAGTCTTGCAGGAGAAGGCTGCTTCTGGGGACAATGTGTCTTCTAATAAGGCTGCTTTCAGCCCAGAGTTTCACTAGGATGCGCTGAACCTACTTCTTGTTCCGGCATTTCAACATCATGCTCTTTAACTGTATTTGACATATGAAATTCTGTAGCAAAGAGAGGCCAATGCATTTCCTAACAATACTTCATCATGATGCAGAAGCATGAATCAGAGATAGTTCAGTATTTAGTGTTTGAAGTGAGGCTTGAAAGGTCTGTAAAACTCAGACACTCAGACAAAAAATTACCCCTGGTACCTAGCTTATGTTGTAAGAAGAAAAAAAGTTTCTGCTTTGGCACAGATTTTTTTGAGATCTTTTTGCTGTTCTGTTGTCATTTTAGCAACAGCAGTAAGAATGGACTTCTCTGACAGCTAGAAGTTAAAAAGTTCAGCTCACAGCTTGGAAAAAGAATAACAAAAAAGACAGTGTGCAATCTAAGACAACCGCAGGTGTACCAAGGCAAAGATAGAAGAGTGTTAGTTAAGGCATGAAATGCAAGCCACAAATTTATCAGGTTGATCAAATAGCAGAGCACTGACAGTAATAAACACTAGGTTATCAATCATCCTTTCTCAACTGTCACTAACTGACATACTTTTTACAATGTTGATCATGAATAACTCCAGGAGCGTCTATAGAGCTACAGCACTGCGGAGACAGTATTTGTATAGAATCGCATGCATTGCCTTTCCTGTAGCAGATATTGGAGTCTTAGTATTTCAGAACATATCATTTTTTCATAGATATAAATATTCCTGCTAAAAATTATAGATCACCTACAACATATATAGTATATTATACAAATGGTTAATGATCACTTAAAAACTGATTGCTGAAGACAAAAAAGAAAATAGAAAAGAAAATTCTACCTTAAGATTCTCCAGACACCTTAATCTAATAGTCATCAGTATGCTTACCTTGCAGACTGGAATGCAGCAGCTATATGAACTTGGACGGTACACGAGGAAAAGATATTCCAACTTTCTGAACAGCACATACAACCGGCAAGAGGTATATAGCAGAACTGTATGGAGGACATTTCTCCGGCGTAGTGGAACTATGGACTTGTACTAGACAAAAGCACATCATATTGATTGCATTAATGGAAAAATTAAGGTAATAGAAGAACATATTTGAAAGTCAAGCTTATATGTCAAGGTAAAAACATAGACTAAAGTCTAACTTTCAGCTCCTACATTCAGTTTGAGTCTTCCACTGCCTAGTCTCCCAGGTTTTGAATAGGTCCAGGGTTCTACCCTGTTGAAAGATTAATGCTTATCCAGCCATGGGATGCCAAGTCTGCCACTAAACTATGTCCCTAAGTGCCACATCGACACATATCAATGTTCCTCTGAATCTCAGAAGATGGAGAGCTTCCTTCTTTGAAATCATGCTTTCTTGTTTTTCTTAGTTCAGTCTGTGGGATAGGTTCCAAATTCAATGATGTTTTAGCAATTCCATTTATGCAAATGAAGTAGGACCCTAGAAAGTTGAGTTATGGTTTCACTGTTTTGACTTTGTGCAAAGACACAAAACTGAAAACATAAAGCCAGGATTAATGAGCTGGGTAAAATTTAGTTAGCATTTTTATTGTTTCCATTTTATTTTTAACTCTTTGTTCTTGTATCTTCAGTTTTATATCCAAAGTACAGATTATGATCGCACCATTATGAGTGCCCAGTCATACCTTTCTGGCCTCTTTCCACCAACCAGCAGCCAAATTTGGAACCCTGAGCTTCTCTGGCAACCCATTCCAGTTCATATTTTGCAAAAATCAACAGACCGGGTGAGTACTGGCTGGACACTTCCTATAGCTCTTTTAAATTTCTCAGAACAAAAAAGAGAAAAAAGGAGGGAAAAGGCAAAAAAAAGAAGTATACTATTCATTTTGAGTTCAATCTAATAGAAAACATCAACTGCTGCTACTGGCTAACAAGCGTGTCATAGGTGAACTGGAATAGCTGCATGAAAATCCTCCTTCTGCAGCTGCAGAATACCTGAATTGTGGTTTGCACTACCATTTTCCTTAAGGTACATCTCTAACATTTCTCCTGGCAAGGACACTTTTGGACAGTATTATAGGGCAGTTGCCCTACATTTTTATACAGAACAAGTGCATTTCTAAGCATCGATCAGCTAGACAGACCTCCCCTCCTCGGCAAGTTTGTTCCACGGTTTATTCAAGGAATGGAATTTTGACCAGCCACTCTAATCCCCTCTCAATTATTACTTTCCTATTCTAGTAGCACTTAGACACCCTAATTATAGACAAGGGCCCTTTTATGCTCAGTGCTCCATTTAATGAGACCCTAGTACTTGCCTTGTGGTTCATAAGAAGAGCAAACCTACCTGAATAATAGGTCTTGTAGAAGTTTTACTGTATGTAGCACTCTCTGGCTGACTCAGCTTTAGATTTTAATTCACTAGCTTTTGTGACAAAAACTGTGTAAGGAACAGTGTGTTGAACAAGGACAAAAAGTTACAGAGTGTAGTGACAGAAAGTCTGATTTTCTTCTGCTGTTGAGGACAGAAGTTGAATTTAAGGAAATGTTTACAAAAAAACTATTAAATAACTGCCTGTCCAGTCACCAGCACCAGAGGATGGACTCTGTCATTAGGGGGTGGCAGCACTTGCCTCCCATTGGCATTCCTCCATGATTGGAGCACATGCTTGAAAGCAAGTGCAGAGAGAAAGGGTTTCCAAACTGGATTAGACACAACGAGATTCAGCTTGAAACTTGACTCTGTCCCTCAACAGAAACGAATGCTGTCACTGTTATTTAAATGTGGGACACTAGGGGAAATTCTTTCACCAGGAAACTGAAAAGGCAACAAAGTGGTCAGAGCTTTGACCAAATAAAACCTCAAAGCCCCTAGAGATCATAGTGCAGTGATATGACCTGTTTGGAGAAGGCAGACTCATTTGTAGGAATCTCTAGTACCTCATCCCCTCTGAAGCTGCTTCAGGAGTAGGTATTGATGTTTCCCTGAAACACACCTCTGCATCAATTCAAAATTCCCGTTAAATATGCAAACCACCTGGAAAAAACATTTTTCCCTTGTTAAACCAAGCAGATGTTTGAGGGTATTTTCAAGCCCTAAGCAACACAAAGTGGGAAATGAAGGCCAAGTACAGTTCTGTAAAAAAACAGATCACAGCTTAGTCTTCAGCCACTGAGATCTATCAAGACCAGACAGGCAACAGTACCAAGTACTACTTAATGTGGCCAAAAGGTGTGGCTTAATTAATAACACCTAGAGGGGGATAGTTAAGCCATACAGCAAGAGAGATATTGTGTAATTAAACAACATTGCCCAGTTTCATACTGAAGCTTTGAGCCTTCATTCTCCAGTGTGCTGCTGTTACAGAAAAAAAATGCACCCTTGGAACCTCTCCGAAGTGTGCTAGTGTCAGATGGTGGCTGTGGCAAGCTTCACTTGGATAAATCAAAAAGAGAAGCACGGGAAATGCAATCCCCATTGTTCACCCTAAGACAGAGTAGACCTTTTCGTGCATACATGAGCCATAGATACTGAACTTAACTTCTCCGCTGTATATTAAGTCAGATCCTTGACATGATTTGTACAGCTATAGCATAATATTAGCGCTGGGTCAAAAATGCTCTAGTGATGTGACATAAAGTGCTGAGCTAGCACCACCTTATTTTCCTCATCATAACTTTTTACTGACACTTCATGCTGGATCAGGTATCACCGTCCCTCTGCAATTGGTATAAAGTACATTTGCCAGAGAACAGTCTGATGGACGCGGCGTATTTACACATGGTTCAGCTTGAATATGTAATACCAGGTGATCTCCTAATGCATATGCTTGGAGTTATTAAAAGTAAACCATACCCCTAAACAGGAACAGAGCCATTAGGCTCATAGCTTTTGATATTTGAGGAGTACAATTCATTTGTTACTCTCCTTTTGAGTTCTGTCCATTAAGTGGTACTTAAACTGCTTACCATAACATGCTGCTTACATCCAAAGAGATAAAAGCAGGATGTGTAAATGCAGAAGGAATTCAGATTCCAGTACCAGGTGGAGTCAAGCTGCATCTGTGAGGATTCAGAAATGAAGAGGGAAATGGTAGCTTCATAAAATTCCTGATCATGGATCCTGATTCATTTCTCAAAGCAATCCCCCAACAGACGTGCATAACTGTTTTTTGCCAAAATCAGTTAAACTGAGGGAAGTCAAGCTATCCTAGACACAAGTAGCCATTGAAAAGTCAACTTACCACAGTCCCTTGCTTATGTTAACATGAATAAGGTACCCAAACAAACCATTACGAAGTAGCAGTAGCACAGCCATAAATCTAACAACATTACACCAACAAACTCAGTAGTAATAAAACTAGAGGTATGTTGATTAATTCTAGAACTATTCTAAGTTTTACTTTTCTCATTTCAGAGGCTGCATTTTCCTCTGCCTGACTGTCCGCGTTTTGATAAACTTCAGAATGAAACTCAAACATCTAGTGAATTTCAAAATAGAATACAACCATATATGGTAAGGCAAAATAAAAGGGAAATAAAATCTAAGAAGGAAAGTAATGAAAATTAAGAAGTTACGGAATAGCACTGCTTTCTTTTGTTAAGATGCAAAAATAAGTAATTGCAAAAAATTCCCAAACCCTGAGTACTCTCTTAAAATCAGAAATTTAGGCCAATATGATCAAAAAGTATGTTTGATATGTTTACGCATTTCTCACACTTTTCTATATTAAACTTTTAAAATGTGAATTTAACATTAATTTTCTGAGACTATTTAGAGCCGCATATAATTAAAGTTCCATGATCTGAAGGGAGAAGAATTTTCTGGACACAGCTATTTCCAGTTTTACAGGGTAGCACCAAACCAATTCTAAAAAATCTGATAAATCAGGAACTTGGGAAGGTTTCTGCCTTCCTGCTGTGACCTTCTGAAGTTGACGCTACACCAGAGAACTAAAGCAAGCGCAACCAGGCGAACACTCTGACTTGAGTCAATTTCTCTGAGATACATTTTGGATCCACCACAAGAACCACTTCTGTTTTGGCCCTGACACAGACCTTCACAGTCAGGGATTCAAAATTTCCTATTCCAGTGCTGCCACAGGATGTGAGTATGTGGGTGGGATACCTGCCTCAAGCAACCATATTCTTGTGGATAAAAATTGCTCTAGACAGTGGTTACTGCTGTTCTCCTGTTTGTTTACTATGCACTTTGTAATAGCACTGCTGTGCAAATAAAGCAGGGGCCTCGTGTTCCTCATACCCTGACTGCACCTGTACACATTCTCCCAAAGTCACGTCAGGATTGCTGCTTGGGCTAAACCCAACATTTGCCTTTCTTGGTTTATTGCTAATTTCCTGCTAGCTCAGCTACTCTGGCCAGTCTCACTCACCTGCAATGGGAGGTGAATTAGCTATCCTCTCTCCCAGCTATGAGTATGAAACAGGTGATGTGGGAGTAAGGCATATTAAGGAGTCCCTTTATTCTTCTGTGGCAGCACATAGCAAGAATCCCTATGGAACTGTTGTGGAACTATTAGATATTCAGATCCCTTTCAATGGCAGAAGGATAACCCAGTTTCCTTTCCAATTTCTTTTCACCTCATCCTGAAAATTTGTCTCAGCTCTCTTTAATTTTCTGGTTTTCCTCATATTTTCTTATCATGTGCCTTTTCCCTTAGTGCCTTCCTCTCCTTATATCTGAAAGCTTGAGGTGATTGATGTGGCTTTCTGGAGCACCAGGAGAGAAAAGTGCAGCAAAGGGAGAGAAGAGTGTAGCAGAGAGAGCACCAGACTAATCCACAGCAGGGCTGAGACAAAGCAGTGTCTGAAATAAAGATCAGTACCTTGAAGTGGTTATAAAATGAAATCTGCAACCAAAATCTTCTACTACAATGTTTTCACTTGAGTACAATTAAACACTACTGTGTTGCCAGGCTGGGTGGGTGCTAATGAATCTATATGCATATGTATAGATATATGTTCCATGTGCATTGAGTATTTGTGGTATACTCTTAATTTTTTTCCCCCAGGATTTTTTACAAACAATGGCAGTTAACACAGGACTTGAATTAAATAATCTCAAAATACTGGACAATTTCCAGCTCTGGAATACATATGATACTCTACACTGTGAGGTAATTAAACCAGGGCAATGCAGTTTTGTAGGAATGAGTTGCCTTCTCTCCTGGATTTCTGTTCGGTTTTTTTAAATTGTACATAAATTCTAATCTAGTGCATTGGTAAAAGATAACCCCAAAACATGATTTACAGCTTGGGAAACTGTTGTTTCCAATTGATGTTTTATACTGAAGCATTAGTACTGACATCCATTCCCTTTATTCCCTCATTTTCCTTCCTAATATGCTGCTGTAGAATTATTTGAGCATGCTGCCTAGGACATATTTATGAATTTTAACAGGAAAATTAAATTATTTGCTTTAACCTATCAACAGGTAAACATCAAAATACTTAGATGATGAAAACGAGAGGTAAGATTGGGATCTATCAGGTAGAAAAGTAGGAGATGACGATTGTTACCAGTGAATAAAATCCGATGGGCCCCAAGCATGGATGTTTCCATTTGGCCCCAGTTATTAGCAGCAGCACATGAAGGCTGTTGAACATATCCTCTACACTCTGAGGCACTTAAACACTACAAGACACTGTCACTCTTACATGACTGGCGAGTGACACTTGTCTGTATATGGCCAGTGATAGAACTGGTATCTGGACAACTCTATGGAAAAGGCGGGAAAAGTTGGAGCTAGGTTATACCCTGAAGACCCAGAGGAAAGGAAGAGGGTAAGATATGTCTGCAACTTTTCACACTAGCAAAACCAAAGCCATATGTCCCTAGAGCAAGAAGACATTATAGATACAAGGGATCCCCTTCACACAGGTCTTTCCCCTCTCCCCATTCACCCACTTCAGGTTGATCCCCATTCCCACAAAGTGTATTTCAGGGCATGATGATGAGTGAAACCACACTGGGCAAGAACTGCAGCACAGCCTCAGAGTCCAAATGTAATAGTGTGAGGCTGGGCAATAGGATGATGGAAACCAGTGGAAGAAAAACACATTTTTTTTCCTTTATCACTAGGATATTCACAATTATACTCTCCCTGTATGGGCCACCAAAGATGTAATCAACAAGATGGAAAAACTGGCAGAATTGTCCTTATTATCACTATTTGGGCTTTATAAAACAGAAGAGAAGTCACGACTACAAGGAGGTAAATCAAAAAATGCATAACTCTCAGAAAGGAAGAGACAATACTTCTTATGACAGCATGCAACATCTGTCACCCTACTCCTGCAAAATCATTCATACACAATCCTGATTTGTAACTATTTACATTGTACAACATATTAAGCATGAAAATATGTGCTGAATGATGATATTTGCATGGATGAGATAATGGAACAAATAGGGGGTTTTTTAATGTAAATTTCTCTGAGATGCATTTTGAATCCATCATAAGACATGCTTCTGTTTTCGCCCTGACACTAATCTTCATAGTCCGAGATTCAAAATTTCATATTCCAGTGCTGCAGGAGGATGGTACATGGATAGGTACATGGATAATATACCTGCCTCACGCAACCATGTTCATTTTCATCTTCCTTGTTCCATTCTTTTTAAGGTGTCCTTGTGAATATTATTTTAAATAGTATTAAACAAGCTGCCAATTCTTCAAGACAAAGAAAAATGGAGGTCTACTCTGCAGTGAGTATTCTATCTTTTATAAATCTTGCTATGATTTTACTAGTAAAAGACCCTTAAAGAGAATAATTACTCCCTGTAAGTTAAATGAAAGAATAATATAATACAGTTCAATTCAGCTAACAAGCTGAAAACCAATCAGTACAAGAACACAGCAGGAGCGCAGTTCACACCTCAGTTTCAATCAAACTGTACTTGGTAAAAAAATCTATGTATTGTATCATCCATTTTTTTCTGCAACTTAATGGTGCAGTTTGTGTAAGTTGCATCTTTCCTTAAGTGCTCCGAACCCAGAGGTGCTGGCACACAGCAGAACTTCAGCTGGACTTCCAAACCCTTCCTCTGCTTAGAAACGGATGATACACCTACGGATTCTTTTTATTATTATTTTAGGGGATGAAGAGGGCCATTTGGGTCAGACCAAGATCCACTTAGCTCATTCATTATCCTGTCTCTAACAATGGCCAGCGGCAGGGAAGAATGTGAGAATAATGCCAGCACGGTTCGGTGCTTCCTCTGCTACATCCTTCCAGCAACCCGTGGCTTAGGGACTTCCTGAGATAGAATCTATGTTGGTCTGTTTAATAGTCCTGACAGACTTGCTTCCATCAATTTCTATAATCACTTTTAAAATGTATTTATACTGTTGGTCTCTGCAACATCCTGAGGCAATGACTTGTGTGTTAAAAGAAAAAAGTACTTCCTTATTTTTTTTTAAGCTTGTTACTGATTTAGCTTCTTCCAAGCATTTCTGTTGTGAGAAAAAGGGAATAGTCATTCTTCATTTGCTTTTCATGGGTCACCCATGAATTTACTATTTTCTGTCACACCTCTTCCACTTTCCTTTTCCAAGACAGAGTCCTACTCTATTTAATATTTCCTCAAATAGAAATGACTCAATATCTTAAATCTTTCTTGCTGCCTTTTCTCCACATTTTCTAGCCCTACTATATTCTTTCTGAAAAGGAAGAAGTGCATCCAGAATTTTCAATGCTACTTCAATATCTCGAGGCCAAGTGCACTCTTATTTTTGAAACTGATCAGTCTAGAAAGTTCCAGATCCTAAATAATAATAATTGAAAGGTAGCTGTTAGACTATAATATAAATAAGCCTAGCAAATATGTATATAAAGACTCTTGCAAAATGTAGGTATCAAGGTGTTTGGGCTTCCTTCAGCTCCTCCTCCTGAGATAAACTGCAAGAGGAGGGATAATGGGAAGAGGAAGAGGCTGCAGGTGGGTGGGTGATTCCATCAAAATAGAAGCCAAACTGAGATTTTACTGTGTAAGTCCAAACAGAAGGAATAATAATTTTAAAAGTTCTGGAGAGTGTGTGGAGGCACGAATAGTCTTTGTATGCAACTCTTTGTCTGGTATACTATCTAAAACAAAGTACTTGTATTTTCACTTGAAATTCCATAGGATATGCTACCTTAGACTGCCTTAATCTGACCTTGGACCCAAAAACATTCCTGAAGGAAAGAGTATCAAAATGTACTGAAAAATTCGATTTATTTCTCAGTCCACATCCTGCTTTCTCCCAGTATCTCTGCCTCCACAATACTGGCAGATGGCCAGTTACTATATCCTGCAGTAACTCTTTGGAAATGCCCCCTTCTGTCTGTAGTAATCTGTTAACATGCTTTTCCCAATGTTGAATATACTGAATGTATTTTATGGTGAAATTTACACAGGTCTTGTTTTGTCTTGATTTCCACTCCCTCTCTACTCTTGTCTCATTACCCTGGATAAATGGTAGTTGACTTAACTGACTTACAAGGATGGATTTTTTATTTTTTTCCCCCAATAGCATGACACCACAGTTGGGGCCCTGCAGATGGCTCTCAATATTTTCAATGGAAAACTGCCACCATACGCTGCTTGCCAGTTTTTTGAACTCTACCAAGAAAGCAGTGGGCAAGTATCTTCTTATCTATGCAAGAACAAGGAGTGTTTGGAATTTGGTTCCCCCTTCCCTAAAATCATTTTCCTTTTAAATACTGTGAGAAGATAGAAATTTGTTTTAAACTGATATTTCACTGAGCAGTCCGCAAGCACAACATTATATTAAAACTAGGAAAAATTACATTTGCTGGTTGTGCATGTATTTGTGTGCTTTGGAAGACAGGAAGAAGAAAACAGGCTTTATCAGCTGGAAGTAAATGGAAAAATAAATTTTCCTGATTCTTCAAGTGATAGCAAGATCATGTCCAAGACATTTCATAAATCCCAAGATAAAGCAGTAGGCTTTGAAGAGCCTGGTACTGTTGCCATTCAAGGAGTGTTCAGCACCTTTGGAGCTGACTGGTGATCTGTGCAGTAACATAACCAGCTTTGGCAGTGGGCTTTGCAGATGTCTTCCACAAAGTCTCCATTCTTGAATAACAGGTTCTAGAATAGGATGTTAGAGCCTATTTCCAACGTTCTGTCTCTAAATAAGAAACCTTCCATTTAAGAACTTTTTTAAAAAAACCCCACTTTTCAATGTTGTTAATCAGGCGATACAGCATTGAAATGCATTATCGGAATGACTCTTCAGAGGATCCTTACCTACTCACTCTGCCAGGATGCACCTCTTCTTGTCCGCTTGAGAAGTTTGCTGAACTAGTTTCTCCTGTGATTACAGAAAATTGGTCAAAAGAATGCGGGAAGAAAGACAAAACGAAAGGTAGTATAACAGCTCTGTATTTTCTATATAAGACATGGAGGCAGAAATTGTATCAATGATGCCAAACTTTGTACCTTTCACAAAATAGATGCATCTCCCTTTAACAAGTGTAGACCATATTTACCATGGGCAGGGAAAGATGACAGAAATTAAATATCTCTATAAACGTGAAGAGGAGACTTGCCCACCAGCGTGAAAGCAGTGCTATTATTAGCACACTCACATAAGCAGCTACCTAAAGGCCATGGCCAAAACCAGAGCTCAGCTTGTTGAACACATCCGACAGGAGTATGGGTGTGGGTGCTATGCAAGGAGTCCTATGCACGTTCGATGCACCAGACCTTCTGTAGATGCAAAGCAAAAATGCCTTGCACATGCATAGTAAGACTGATGCATCTGTATTTCTGGGACATGTACAATTTATTGAGGATAACTTAACCTCCACTGTACACACAGAGTGTGTGAATATTATTTCCAGGAGGGAAGTGAAAGGCAAGGCAATACATGCTATGTTCCAACAGTTCCAGTATTTCCTCCTTCCTGCATATATTCAGTGTTTTGCTAATCCCTGATGAAACTTCACATGGTCCCTCTTGCCCTGTGAAAACCTAGGAGTAAGATTTACCTGTGCACAAGAAGGTATCTATGCATTTCTGGTACTGAAGTATATGATTTTATACTTATGTTGCATATGTCAATAAATGCAGGCCATGTGATCTTGCCAGCAATATGAAAAAAATGTAACCGTATCTCCATTGGACGTATCTGTAATTAGCCTACCTCACTACCTAAATCTACATACAAATTATATATAAAATTATATACATGTATGTCTTTCATTAACTTTCATTAACTTTTCCTTTATGGTTTTTCCTTCACAGATATTTTTATTGGATTTGATGTTGCTGTTGGCTTGTTGTTCATTTTTGACCTTGTACTACTCTACCTCCTTTATCATTACGGACGTTGCAGGCGCAGAAACAACTACCAAGACATTTAAAGGGAAGGTAAAGAAATGAAAGAGAGAGCAGCTAGACATCAAGCAATCCTTTAAGTTGCTTATATTCATCAATTTGTTCTGGCCAAATTAATCTCCACAGAGTATTAATAAATTTGAAGAGCTGAGATATCTGTGGCCTAGCTCCTAAAATACTAAACATCTGCAGGGAGAAGTACTGCAGAAATACGATGTTGTTAAGAATTTACTTGTGTAGGTAGATGGAATTACTCCAATTTATATCTTTAGGTTTTCTACTACTATTAATCACTCTTAAGTCAACCACAGGGGTGAAGGGATGCTATCGCCTATGCTCTTTCTTTTATATTTCCTATTACCATTTAGCCCTCTGCTGCTCAATGAGTCCTTTTTGAAAACCACAGTCCGTAATATTTTCCTTACTTCTTATAAATGGCTATTTTGTTGATGCACAGGAAAATACTTTCAAGCGAGCATAAGCTGTAGTTACTGTGTGAAAAAATTCATACTAGCATTTGGGCATACTGTTTCTGCATTTATTCATGCAAATATATGCATGAGTTTTGACCTTGGCCTTCAGCTAATAAAAGTCTGCAGCCTGCTTTTCAAAGGAGTTACACTGCTATATCTCTCACTGAAATCACTAGAAACTGGGGTGCTCTGTCACATATCCAGGCATCAAGCAAGCTTAGTGCAACAGAGCCATGGTCAGTGTTCACAACGTCAGTAATATGGATAAGTAAATACATTAAAATCTATTTTCTGTTGCTACACTGTATTCCTATTTTTCTGAGCTCCCAGTCATGAATGATTCTTGGTCCTGCATCTTCTATATAATGCATTTGTTCTCCATCTTGCTTCAGGTCCCTTCTATAACCTTATTTCTTTGAGACACTCTTAAAAATAATTCCTGAAGTTATCACTCTGTTCATCACCTTTCATTTTAATTTACAATAACTCCTTTAACTCCTTGCTTTCTTCAAAATCCCTTATGTTAGCAAGGCTTGCACTGAAAGTAAGAAAACAATTATTCTGCTTTTTGTATGTTGATCTCTTCTGTAAAATATATTATGTTGAGATTGTAAGCTCCTAAGGGCAGGGAATGTGTTTCCATAATTGCTCTCTAGAATCATAAACTAGTGTCATAAGCACTAATACTGCTGTAAGAAATGCTGCTTATCGTCATATGTTTCAAGGGCTGAATGAAGGTTTTTTGATCCTGTAGTCCTGCAGAGCATACTGTGAATTATATTACCATGGAGAGGCTTTTTTAAAAATCCAGACAACTATACAGACAGGTGCCAACAGCAGGTTCAGCCCAACAGATACAATGAGCAATTATGTGCTCAAGCTGATGAGTCCTGCTGAGATGCAGAACTGTAGAGAAAGCTGAGAGATGGAGCTTCTTAGCTCAGTCACAGCGTCACATATGTGTGAATACACTGCTTCTGGACTGACTTTGACTTGCATCTATGGATTGCAACTTGGAGCCCAGGAGCTTGGATCAGCCCTCTATATTATGACTATGGACACATTTAAAATCTGATCTAGTTAGATGTATTGATATTAAATAGCATAAATCAAACAGAATAGTAAAGGCTTGTGGGAACGCAGCACTTTCCAAACATCATTGCATATTCTTGTAGTAATTTCAGCTACTGAGGTTTCCACCTTTTGAAGCAGTATTTCCCGCTCAGTAAAAGGCTTTTACTAGTATCCCTGACATTTCCGTTGTATCAATTTTTGGAAATATGATAATCAAGAGAGGGGTTTGATTCTCACATGCTAAGGATGTTTTATTGTTTAGCAATCTGGGGCAAAGCTGTCAAAAAGATGAAAGGCTATCCTTAAATACTTCAGATGTACAAGCTTCAGATTGTAACTACTAGTTCTGATCTTCAGCGCAAAAAGTTAAAGGAATGTCTATATTGCAGTCAAAAGTGTTACAGCAGCTCTAGAAAACCAGCCTGAGCTGGCTTGGTTACTATTTTCAGTGTACTGGTAGTGGGGAAAAGCCCAGAGCAAACTGCAAAACTGATCCTGGCTCCTGAATATATATATTATATATAAACTCAGTGATTACCTGATGCTGAGCTCTGTATTACCATGGCCACAGTGCTGCTGGTACTCACTGAAGGATAGATTATGTCTTTTATTAGAGGCAGTCAGATGCTTGTCAAGGGAAGATGTATCGTTGACTGATAATGTGCAGTAAGAGCTGGTTTTGAGATACTAGAAAATCAGCCAGTTGCACTCCACAAGAAGAAGAAAGGGGCATGTTTTTTTCCAAGATCGCTTCTTATGACAAGAAGTACATCCAGACAGAAATTAAAATGTGAAGTGTCTGAGACATCTTTTGTGGTTTGTACTACTCCAGCTGTGGCAGGAGCTATCGTGAAGTAATTTTATTGTAAGGACACCTTTTCGTTAGCAGACAGTCATACTTGAAAATGTCCACGCACTTTTAGAAAGGATCCAGTGAACAGAGGTACAATAAAGATGTAATACATTAGCAATGTAGGCCCTGAGTCTCACTTATAGTAAAGACGTTTTGTCTTGCTGTGATAAAATCAAGTATAATTTCTCCAGTGGAGTAAAAGGTTGTAAGTGTCAGACACACTTGTGGCTTTTTTAATTTTTCAGCCATATTTGCAATTTGCTTAGTATAATCTGCAGACTGTTCGGGATTAGAAAATATCTTGTCTCCGAGCAATTTGTAGCACTGTAATAAAGTACATCATTGAAGAAACAAGTCAACATTTGTAATTGTATTTCAGTGAAAAACAATGGATATTCCACTATGCCTGGAGTTACCAATAAAAAGTGAATGTTCAGGTTTGTTCCTTCTGTAAGAATGGATTTTTAAAGCGCTGATGCTGTGACATGAATAGTGCTAATGCTGATGACATCAAGCTCATCCATTTGCCCTCTAGCAGTGACATCATTTGCTTCTACGATCATTATGGTAGCAACTAGCAGCTCTACAGCAGCGTTTTCTGGTGCATATGGCAAAGAGCAGTGCATAAAGAGTGTTTTCCAGTGCAGTCAGCAACAGTCTCTTCCTCTTACTGAACTGATTTCATTCTGGGACTTGTTTATTCACAATCCTGAATACTGCACATGCTGGGTCAGCACAGGATAGGACTTCCAGAGTAACACCAGCTCAGTCTGGAGCACTCATGTTCATTTGTACCTGTAATGTAGGGTCATTTGATCCAAATGATATTACTTCTTCTCACTCAAATACATTTTCTTAGGTGTGGTAAGATACAGAAAACAGAATAACAAATATATTGTATCAAAAAAATATAATATCTTCAGTCCAAAAAGACAAAGGTTATGTTTCTAAATTTTTCTCCAAAAACAAAACAAAACAAAAACTAAAAAAATCTACTTTACAAAGAATAATAAAGATTTACAGTGGTGGAATTTGAGAGTGATGATGAGGGTAGAGGCTTGCTTATTCTTAGGCATATAACCTTGGCCCTTACAAATTCATGCTGAGATGATGTCAGCAATATTGCACAGGATAGCATTCTTGGCATGAAATAGCTGAAACTACTGTACTCCTTAAAGCATTTCTTGTAAAGAAGGATGGGGATGTAAGGCTTTTTTTTCCCTACAAAGGACCAGCTTTTGATTCAGACAACAAGGCTTCTTCATCAGAAGCTGCCAAGTATTAACACTCAAATAAATAAACATGAGTTGCTACTGAAACAATAGCTAATCATTTGAACTACTACATTACATGGTCTCTTCTATGATGAGGCAACTTCATTTCCAGAAGGATTTTAGCACTGACAAAGCCTGCAAAACCATATCTAGGAGATCACATACAGTTTAAAAGACATGTCCGAAGTCCAATTGTGCTAATTTCTGTAATTTCCCTTCAAGTACTACTTCCCATCCTGAGACTGATTTGTCAGATTCACTGGGACTGAAGTTCCAGTGATCTTTTAAAAAATCTGGAAAGAGAAGAAAGATACCATTTCTCTGTTGAAACAGACGGTGGCAAAAGAAAATGGTTCTGGCTCCATCTCTGTTTCTCTATATTGAGCCAGTCATATCCTTTCAAAAAATGGTAATTGCTCTGTGCTCTGGTTATGGCAGCTACCGCTCTTGCCCTCTACCTATAGCAAGCCCTTGACTTCGAAGGACATAGCAATTCTGCTAGCTCATCTAACCTGTGAACTAAGGAAAGAAAGGTTGTAAGATGCAGCATGATCATAAAGTCTTTTCTTTAGGAAGATGAGAATTAAAAGGATGTATGAACTCAAAAACCTGCAACCTAAGGCCCAAATAGATAAGCACATATCCTGCATTCTCTAAAAAGACTGGTAATGACAGCATTTGGATCAAGAATTACAGAAGACTAGCAAAGTTATCTAATACACACGTATGTTGACTGAGGACATTTCCAGTGCTTCTGGGGAGTGGAACTCCTCCATTCTTTCCATTCTAAGGCATTCTCAGAGCTTCTCCTGGCTGCTCTTCAGGAAGCAGAAGGAGCTGAAACAGATCTGAAGCCTACTTCTTATTCAGAAGTTTTGAACCACATGCACTTAAGATTAAAATGGATGTGATTACTAAATTCCTGTTTGCTGTATAATGGTTTCTCCGCTTCTGACACTAATACAGAAATACTTTTACAGTACAGACCACCTCCTCCAAGGCAGAGGAATTAAACAGACAATTCAGACAGAGCATGTTGCACTTGTAAAAAGATGAGAATATTTGCTACTGATATAAGCAGCCCTGCATGAGAATATTGTGCATCTTCTGTAATATCAGGGTAGAAGACAGCTTTGTCAATCCATTTGTGCACAAGAAACAAAGACTCCTTTTCTTGGTGAAGGAAGATATGGATCAAAAAACACCTTAGTCTGTAAGTTAAGACTCCTCAAATAACAACATGAAAATCTCCTTCTGACAAATGAAGGCCTAATTTTCACTTCACTTCGCTTCGCTTTGCTTCGCTTCACTTTTTGGAAAGATGGATTTGGCAACAAGATACATTAAGGCTC